CACTTAGAAATGAAGAACCACACACACACACACACATATAGAACAAACAAAGAATATGTCAGGGCCAAAGAAACACTCCATGAGCCAAAGGCAATGTGGTGTGGTCACAGCATATCTGCTCCAGATGGTGCCAGGGCATTCCCTGTCACTGTACACAAAGACAGTGTAGATACAGCCTTTGTAAGAGACAGGGAGAGAAGAGATGAACTAAATAAATTATGAAAAACATCAAAGGGAGAGGAAAAAAAATATGAGGAAAGAAGTATGGAAGAAAATAATTATGTTTTGGTTCTTCACATTAGTTGTCATGGAACAGTTTAGAAACCAGAATAACTGTTTATGATGTCAAAATCTTGAAAGTGGCCAATAATAGTTCTAGAACACTGTTATTTGCCAATTGGGTATTTTAATAACATTAAATTAATAGATAATGAACTCTGAACTAATCATAAAGATCATGAAATGTTCATAATTGCTACTGAGGAAACCCAATTCCTTGTGAGAAAAAGGGTAAATATTTAATTAATAGTTAATTAAATCTTAGGAGCCCAATTATCCATAAAGCGAATAATATTAAAAAAAAAAACCAACTATAACAGAAACTGGAAGACTGCAGTAGCCAAAGAAAGAGAACTTTAAAAACACGTCTGTACAGAGATAAAGAGCAATCTGTTATGCAACTGAATGTCAATAATTTATCCTGCTCATTTAAATATGCATGCTTTTTTTTCCAATGTATTTTAAGGCATTTTATTCCATAGAATCAATTTTTGAGGTTACCTCAAATCCAAAACAGATGGGAGATAATGAGGAAAAAACAGAAAGTCAAAGCATAATTATAGTTTTTAACACACTTTTAGGGATGAACAATTTGTCAAGCTTTGTTCTTGACAGAATTCACAAGATAGGGGAAGTTATTTCTCTGCTAGTGTTTACAGCATAACTAATAACAATAATGCTCATCTAAATAATTGACATATTAGGGTCAAGTTATCCCAACACCAAATGCGGACAGAAAAATAATTCAGAATATCAATTTGTTATTAAGGAGAAATCTTAGCTCTTTCGAGTAGATTTCAAATGATTATAATTCGTTGACTTGAGATACACTGTGACAATATGAAAGGGGTGAGAGTATTTGTTTTGTGTACCTTTATAGAAATGCTACCACTGCCTTCAGATGAGCTTTGCCATTAAATAAAAATGCACTGAACATACTGAAGTCTGTGTACAAAGATAGGAACTTTATATATAGTTTTTAAAGTTCTCTTCAAAAGGCAGTTTGCACTTCTAGTGCTAATTCCTTTAAATGCACTACACTGTTACTTCTTGTTAGCATTGGTTCTCAGACCTTCATTTACTTTTCAAGCTACTGAAGGATGCTTATTTCCATACAATGGAAAGTACCTTTCCAACTACAATGTACTCCCCCATATAAACAACATTGCAGAATCCTTCTCATATAACAATATGTTCACTTTTTTTCCCTCTGGAGGCAGCAAGGCTGTACATTGTGGTCTCTTCCTCACCAATGCTTCTATTTAGGTATTTATATAATACTCCCATTAATGGAGTCATACTCTTGCCATATTTCCACACATACAGTTTTCATTCCTTCAAAAATAGACACCTTTCTTCCTTCTAAATACTTCTCTGCATGCAATGACTTTTCTAAAATAACCACCAAAAGTTCAGAAAGCTTACTAATTTCTTAAAGGCTCTAACTTGCATATTCAAAATTATTTTTCCTCAGTGTAAGATAGTTTTCAATCAATTTATAATCACACATTTTGCTGTTCTTGCTTTTCTCCCTCATCAATTTAAACAGCAAAGCATACTTGATTTAGCCTACTATTAATTAAAATGCCTCTTACCTCATAGGTTTTCCCTGATAATATTGGAAATACCTTCTAGTGTTCTTGGCTCCTCCTACACTATCCTCCTACTCTTATGTTCTCTACAGAAAATGCATGGCTCATTCTATAGATTTTTCTTACATAGTTTCCATTGCCAGTAGCTTCTAAAAGTCTTTCTCTACTCCAGATATTTTTTAGCAATTACACATAAAGTGCACAGGTTACATTTTACATATTTTAATGTGTCATATAAATTTATCTTTTTACATATGGAGTTGAAACAGTTCATAATCTATAAACAATTAATCCTCTCTTTAAACTACCAACATTCCCTCCCTCATCAGAAAATGTAAGTGGTAAATGGCCCTTGATATCTACAGTGACTTTTACTCAGCATGAGACTAAGAAAAGCAAGAAGTACACGAAATAAAAAAGGATTATGCTAGGAAGAGGGAGACAATCAAACTGAGCTGCTGGTTAGGAGAAAAGCCAACAAATCAAACAGATCTGCCTAAAAGTAGCACACCATCCGATTAAGAAAGGAGCAATAGAGGTTCTGCTGTGAAGGTGTTTGGACTAACAGATCACAAAATACACAGGACAACTTGTCTCCAGCAACAGATGAACACTCAAACTATGACAAAAAAGAAAATAAAATAAAAAAATCAAACCATGACTCATCTTTTCAACTTGTGAAGTTCTCCTAAAGTACACATTTGTCATCCACTACCCGGTGGCTTCCTGTATCCTTACTCAGAAATAAGACATGCTTCCATAAATTTCATTGCCATTATCACTTGCAAATACTTGTAATACGGAAAGCCACTCTTCCAGTCAATCCCAAGAGGTATTAATACTTCTAAAAAATGTTACTAATCCAAGTCTGAGAATCCTTCCTTTAGTTTATGTATATATGCTCATAATGCTCACTTTTGACCACTCTTTAGTTTTGATCTTTCTTATTATTCACACATTCGCTTATGTGCCCAGACATTGATTGATCTTTCAAGGAACTGCAGCTGTACTTGACCAAATAATCTTTAAGCCTGGAAGAATAAATCAGCTGTTCAGTTTTCATCAGAAGAGATACTCTGACGCCCTGCTAGTTGCAGAACTTTATTTTGAATATTATGTAATACGCATATTCATTTACTAAGTCCTCTGTGTTTCTTCATCAATGACTGGTACTGTTTTGGACTATACATATATAGACAAACATCTGGTCTCAAGACTGATCATTGAGCGTGGTGAGGGGATTTACTCTGTTTCCCCGAGTTAAAGTCACAAACAACCTGACCCGGTGCCCTTTCGGTACCGGATTGTGACAGGTACCATAAAGTAACTCAAATGTCTTTATCTTTTCCTTGGCAAAAGTTATCTCCTTAAAAATATCAAATAATAGAAACTAGATCACTGTTCGTCACTCTTGTCACTGATGTGAATGTGGAACATTTACAATGTTCGAGCACTTTTTAAACTACTCTTCACTGCTAACACCTTGCACATCTTTCTCAAAGTACTGAGGCTACTCACATCTCTGCTTAGTCATTTATTTTTCTTCTGATTAGAGATGAGTCATACAATCTGGATCTACACTGTTTTTACAAAATCAAACTACCGTTCAGTTACCAAGAGCAGTACTTCTTTTTCTAGTATCTAATTACTTGTTTTCTCAACCTTGTTTGTAATGATAGGATTTGTCTTACCTCACTTTATGCAGCTAAATGTTATTCACATGATCTTAAAATAGGCATCTCTCATAACAGTGGGATGAATACTCAGCTAGACGTGCCTGTCTCCCTTTATTACACACAAGAAGAGCATAAACAGCTTACAAACTCTGCTAATACATGGCCTGGAGCAAGTAGTTTGGAATGTTAAAATGGAAAGTGTATAGAATTAGTTTACCCACTTGTTTCCTTGGAGACAGAATGCAAACACTTTAAAGCATTCTGGAACTCAAGTGTAACCTCAAAAACTAAAATCCCTAAAATACAATCTCTTTCTCAAGCCCACTTGGAACCCTCTGTCTCTGGGAAGGTGCTTTTTGGTTTAATGGTGCAGTTTCTTTGTTGTAGGAGCCAGGTCCACAGCAACTCATTTGGGACATCATTGTCTTTTTTCTTTCTCCTGTTTATTGTTCACTACTTTTGGAGAACCTAAACTGTTAGGTGCCTTCTGCTTATGAAGCCATAAGCCTCTCACTTCCACCTAGAGCTTCCAAACTGTGTCAGTGGACCATAGTATAACGATTTTCACTTCATTAGTCACCTGCACTGTTTATAACTCTCCCCTTTAGTGGTCTCAGGCCTCATTATCAGTTCACATTAGTTCTTGCAACTGAAGGGTTGCCAACTGGTTACTCTTGCTCTTTTAAATTATTCATATTGATTACTTTGACAAATGTGACGTACATGTTAGCCTGGAAACGCAGACAAAGCAGAAAGAGGCACAAAGATTCCCTCAGTTTTTATTACAGTGGCCACACCAAGTTATCTCAGAAGCTATTTTAATATTGTAGACCTTTTCAAACATTGCAAGCACCACAGGACAAAGAATATTTACTTCTCTGTGTATATATCACCTAATACATTTTGAAGAATATTTTTTTAATATTAACAATAATATTATGTCTTTGTTAATAGCATCCTCTGTCCATCTCAGCAAATACGAGTTCTTATTTGTTAGAGCAACCTAACACTTCAGGCTTACCTTTGCTTTCTGGAAAAGAGTTCTCCAGTGGCCTATCATATTTTCCTAAAGAATTAGATTAATTACAAATCTTCTTGTCCTTTTCTCCTTAACTGTTATAGCTTTTTTCTTGTATTTTGACCAATCTACCAAGTGAGTACAACTTTGACATGCCAAACTCAGTTCAATTACTATAAATATTGCAAATTTCCTAAAGATGCTTATACAAACCAAGTACAGGGTGAGATCTCAATTCACTGGATTAAACCTCACTTTAGGATCTATAGGTGCTCAGTTCAGTAATGTTTTTTTTTTAAACAGAAAATTAGTAACACAAAAGTGCATGTAACTCTTCCACAGTCTCTCACAATGTTTACTGTCTCTGTTTCCCAGGGCTTTTAATAGCATCAACCTTCCCCCTCATCACGACTTTTTTTGGAATGGATCACTTACTTTGTAATACGGTCAATGTTAGCAATTTGCTTCTGGTTCCGGATTATTTCTATAGCTGCCCAAAGATGCTGGATAGCCTTTGTATCTGCCTGTCGTCTCTTCGTTAAGCGTGCCATGACCTGTTTACTTGGTCAGCTGCAGCCGATAAATAAAAAAAATACACCAAAAAGTTAATCATGAATTATGAAATGGATTACATGATGATCATATCGCAATAAATACGATTACAAGAAAAACTCTGTTAACCTACAGCGGTTCGATCTATAGACATCAGCATGTTTTCTTATGCTTAAAGAGCAGTAAAAAGAAAAAAAAAAGTAGTTTAAAAGAACTCCTTTCACATTACATAATCTATACAGATATCAAAAGGCAAGCAGTAAAAATTATCAAGTCAATAGCAAACGACTTAACTTATCAAACTGGTTACAAACAGTCATCTAGTTCAAATATCAGTTCCCTAAAGTTTGTTAAAAATCAGAAGCTGCCCTAGCCTGAAGCTTCCATAGCCTCCTACGCTACCATTACCAAGCTTCCATAGCCTCCTGTGTTATCCAAAACTCTTAAAAAGGGTGAGTGGTGCTTGACTACATCACATGGTGTAAAAATGAATTCTGACACAGAGAAAAAGCTGGACTCACAGTTTATTACACAATATAGTTCTCAGAGTATTACTTTTCATATTTTTATAATTTACAACTATTTTAAAAAATCTATTCTATAAGCAGAAACTAAAAGTATATTTTCATGGATGATAAATATTAAAAAAAAAAAACAAACAAAACAAAGCCAAAACAAAACAAAAAACTTTGGAGCAATTCCATTTTCTGTAACATGCTAAAACCCAACAGAACCAAAGTGCTTCTGATGGCATTTACCCATCTAATCAACCCTGAACAGGAACATAATGAGCATCTGGCTTTGTTTACAAATTTTCCAAAAGCTTGAGGCAATGAGTACAGACAAGCCATAAATCGCCTACAGCCCTACTACAGGCACAGAATCCCTTTTTGAAAGCTTAACGATGCATTTTGATCACTAAATAACTTTCTTCCAGTGCCACCACTTTCTCAATGAAAAAAAATGACTGATTTATGACTGCTACCAAGGTCTATAATTTATTTTAGAGCTCTGTCCTCAAAATGAACTCTGTGGTATGCACATGGATATTTGTAGCTAGCAAAATATTAACTTCAGTAACCCAAAATAAAATAAAAAAAAAGCAAAAAATATTACACCATCTGTGCAATGTTAAAGATGCGAGTTTAAGTATTAAAAGTGTCTCTTCTCAAATTCAGAAAAATTAAACAAGATTCAAATATCCTATCAGTTGCAGCAATACAATTTTCAAGTCCATAGGATCTACAGGTACTTGTCAAAGAGGGCTGTCAAGTTTCAGATCCAACATTAGCTTTGCGACACTCACTTTGCAGGTGAAATGAAGTGCAATGTTCTATTATTAAGGAGAAGAAATGATTTAACAGCATTACACTTAGTACTCTGTAGTTCACTTAAAAAAAAAAAAAAAAAAAAAAAGAAAAAGATTATGTGAAGTGATATGTGCATGTCCGGAAGTGTGAGGCACCTCTGGCTGCTGGAGATAGCAAGGAACGGCAGAGAAGAGCAATGGTCATGGAGACACTGCGTGGTCACATATCGACCCCACGCTTCTGCTTTAGAAATCTCTTCCCACTGGGATTTAAAGCAAGGGCAGCTGGATCTCCCAGTGAAGAAAGGCCAAACACACATTTCTGAGGGAAGGATAAGAGGCAATATGACAGACACACAGCTAAGAGTGACAGCCAGTAGATAGCATCGCCTAAGAATGATTCAGAGTAAGCAAGCTTCTTTTGGGAACAGTGAGAGACACTACATCTCTGTGAGCCCCTCTGTACTCATTTCACAGAACAGGAAGCCACTACAAACCGAAAGAAACCTCTTAATTGTTAAGAGAAACATATGATTATTTGTAGAATTTAACTCTTAAGGATAAAAGACCTGTGAAAAAAAATAAAAGGTTAAACACTAACACAAAAAAGGGCAATCTTTACAGACCTATTACCTTAAGCATAAAACTCCTTTACTAACACAGAACTGACTAAAAGTTAAATATTTTTTTTTTCATTCTAGCTATTCACCTGAACAAACTATTCGCTTTGAAAACTGTTAGCTAATATGGCATTCAACAGGCCAGACGTGGTGCTTCTGACACAGTATAGCATCCACATGCAAGGATCAAGATGGAAACATTCACTGTTTTTGACTTTTTTACCAGTGTGAAACAACAGACCAGTTCTCAGTTTATTTTGTACTAAATGAAGCAGGTCCCGTTATCCCAGTTACTTTAAAAATAACGGTTGTTTTTGGCAGCCTGTCATATGGCTGCCCCTGCGAGAGGCACAGGCCAGGCAGAGGGGGAAGGAGGTGGCTCTCACACCTCTGTGACGCCTGGGCCTCAGCACCCCAGCACAGGGCAGGGCCCCAGAGAACCCATCTGCTGCCGCAGCGTGGCCCCAGGCCCCGCCGCGCAGCCAAAGGGAAGGCTGACCTCTGGAGCAGAGGAATTCCCATGTGTCTCCATGGCGGGAGAGACATCCCAGGGAGAGGGAAGGTTCGATGCAGTTTTGAGTTTCCCGAAGCCCAGCGGTTGCAGAACTGCACCTAAGATGGCTGCCAGCAGGCGAAGGGTGGCTGCTCCCTGGACAGGCCCTCCAGGCTCCCCCTTTCCTTTGGGGTGTGCTTTTGGAACAACTTCCCAACCACCCCCCCACCCTATCCTTATTGCATTTTGTTGCCTTGGAGCATGCGAATGCTATGACCCCAACCCACACTCCCCTCCCAGGCCCCAGCTGCTACAGGGAGGTGACTCCATGGAACCAGACTGGACCTGGTCTGAAGCAACCCCTCCAAAACGCAGGTGGTGCCAATGCCTGCCCCAGCTTCTCCCTCCTAGCTGAATCCCTGCTCCCCACCGCGGCTCACACAGGCACAGCCAGGGCTGTGACTCCCTCTTTGTCTGGAAATAAAAGCAGTAAGAACTCTGACACGTGGGACACAGCAATCATATGTATTCTGTTTCGTTCCTTTTTTTTTTTTTTTTTTTTTATTTGTAAGACAATATTTTTAGCAGGTGTTGTGCCTTCAAAGAATATATGTTTCTTTTTTATAGCTTTGGTTTACTATTTAAGGGCACTTTTGTAAAACTCGGAGTTGACACTCCACTATTGAAACAGCAGTTTTTACACACCACACTTCCAATAATAGGCTGTTGGTTTTTTTTTTTTTCCAAAATGCCCAGAACACTTAAGCATTATTTTCATCTTTTAATTGCATGGCGTAGAAGAAATACAGAGCCTTTTTACATTAAAGAAAAAGATTAAAAGATTGTGGCCTATTTCTTGCTGCTCGTTGCAGTCATCCTCCATGGTCAAAGTAACCACAACAGTCTACTCCCTACATTCCTGCAAAAATATAAGCAGTTTTCTATATTATTATAAAATTTTAAAGACAACTTGTATCAGACTGTTAATTCTTCATAAAATTCTTTGGAGTGCTACTTCCAAGCAACAGAAAATGCTCCCAGTGCTTCAACACACACAACTTATACATGCAAACAATATTTTGAAGTTTAATGGAAGACACATTAGATTCTTAAATCTATATTTATCACTCCTGATTATTTGCTTATGTGTGGGTGCACACACACACAAGCCCCAGGAGAAAAAACAAACTTCTAGCGCATGTATATGTAAGAATCTATGGCTTAGAGGTTAAATACTGAAAGAGGCTGATTCATCCCTGCAGTGTTTTAAAGAACTCCAGAGACTCTCTTTAAAACCACAATACTGAAATGTACATTTACATACAAATGCTTGATGATGTCTCCCATCCCCCTCTTTCATTATAGTATTCATTTCTATAACCTGGAAATAAAATACTAAAAGCTGAAGTAAACGTCAAATTCCCGCTTGTGATTTGCCAGCTATGGTGCTTGTTTAGATACAGTATCCTCTGTCTATACAGATTTACTTGCTTCATGACATTTCTGTCACATTCTGCTAGCAAGTTTAGGTAGGATGCAGCTTCTTGGAGAAAGGTTGGCAAACAAAAGATGGTTAAAAACCTAAGAATCTATATCAGCAAGATGTGTCTTAGGTTTTCTAAACACCCATGGGACCTGCATAACCTAAGAAGGACCCTCCTAACGAAGTTACATGTGGCTGATGTGCCAGCTCACACACTTTCATCACATACTCACAACGGGCCCAAAGCAAATAACTGATCAATACTCTCACTTTTCAGCTCTATTGTTCCTCAGTGCAATCTGAGTAAGTTTTTATTATATTTTGTAGTTTAAACCCCACTTGAATGTCCTATGTACAACAGTTCAAAAGTATACTTTATTGTACAAAATGTTCCTCAAGAACTAAATGGAATCCACCTTTCTTACAGGCAGAGTCAAACGGTGCTTTATCTTGTGAACACACACAGCATGGCTTATCTTCACAAAGCCCACAGCAAAGCATGTGTTGCCATGCAGTGGCAATGTTACAGCAGTGGCAAACCAGACTTAGTGTCATAGCAGCAAGGCTTTTTAGTCATTATGCACACACTTGGAGAAATCAAATGCCGTACACCTGTCTGTTGCAGTAGTAGTGGATATGGAAATCTGCACCGCAAGTCAAAAGAAACAAAAATCACCTTGCAGCATGTCTAGGGACTGAATGCGAGGAACCTCCCAACCTGCTGCGTGCAGGGCAGTAGCAGATACTATCAGTTACTAAGTTTAGCTAGAAACTCCTTACCAGCAGCAACAACTGAAAGGTAGTCAAATCTCACTTTTTCAGCTGGTAAATACCATCATACAAGCAAAATATGATGCTTCTGAAAATTTAATTAATGATTTGGGCTTTGCACTGAAGCAGACGGTGTTGCAGTTGGGTGCTGCTGCTCTGATGGGAGCTACTAATTAAGAGCTGACAAGTAGTAGCTTGTTAAATTTTCTGTTTACGTCACCATAAGTGAGGCTACCTGTGGCGCTTGTCCCTTTCAGTGCAAAGTCAAACAGGTTAAACTTCATCCCTGCTATTAGCCACCATTTGGCTGATATTTGGTATGC